GGCATATTGCAACGGCGCCGTGCAGAGGAGCAAAATTATGGAAATCCTCTTTCCGACTCATGGAGTTTCACCTGTCAGATTAGTGTATGCCCAGAGCATGTCGACGACGCGCTCATCCGTCATTGTATGACATCGACCAAGGGCGTTGCCATGCAAAGAAAGAACCTCGGTTGCAAGAACTGTAGGGTCACATTCTTTTCGCCATCCTCTATCTTGAGAGTACGACATTTCCAGCTCACTAATTCTGGCCTCTAGTGCGAGCACCCCGATCCTGTGCTAATTTGCACGTGACGTCGGTCTACTCGAATGAAATGGGTTTTCTGAAGAAAATCGCACGACATGCGCTTTAACACGGTTCGCAGCCTGTCAATTTATGATGCATTTGAAATCACACCGCCATTTATTGAAAGACTGCAATAGCAATGACTTGATGAAACCCTAAAATCTAATACAGAGAATCGAATACAGCTATTCTTTCCTCGATGGCTTTCTTGAAACTTTCGATGATTGGTTCCAAAGCAGTCCACCCTCATCATCTCGCACTCATCACTTGTTTCATGGCCCTAGATGACTACAGAGTATTATTGAACAAGGATGCGTTTATGTTGGTGGTGAACACTTGTTGCACAAGCTACTGCTGCCTAGTCAGTCATCGTCTGGCATGTGCAACTCGACTGTATGGCCCATTCTAGAGCATGTGTGATGTTGGATGTTCTAAGAGTTGCTGAGCACTGATGTTCAACGTCTGACGTTTTTCCGTAATGATAATCACTACAGTAATTTTACTGTTACCTCTAAACCTATCATGCTTCAGACCACAATTGCCACATGTTGTTTCCATTGCCAGCCATTCGCCCCATCGAAGTTTCTAAATATTTAGCCTACTGTCCAGCGCATTTACCGAACAGCTAATAAAAAGTAAACGTTAAAGCAGTGATTCTAAGAAGGGTGAATCATCGTTGTTTTTACTCGTGTCTTAAGCTATATATAAGCTATGTTTGCAGATATAATCGTTAGAAACTTCGCTCAATATATTGACATGTTCTTCACTGCAACGGTAGTGGTACTACAGAAGATTCACTGACCGCGGCGATGAACGGACTTTTCTCGGTCAGGACGCGCGACTGGCTGCCAATGAATTCATACACGTTCCCATATGTCCATTACTAGCCATTATAAGTAACTTAAAGGCAATAGACAGCTTCTAGCTACAGTAGGCATGATCACATGAATTGAAAAATATGTAAGAATATTTGAAAGGCTCTCTTGCAGCCAAGAGTTAAAGATCTATGTCTTTACGTCGAATTGCTTCTGCATGACTTGTTCGTGTTGTGGGCCGCCACAAAAGCAAGCTGACCGCCTTCAATCATCTCTCGTTAAGAGCTTCCTTCGCTTCGGTTAGTTCTTTCGTACTTTATTCTGGGCTCCAGCGTTGGTGAACAGATGCTGATTTTTCCCCGACCTTCATCCCACCCAACGGATTGAATAAAGTGGAACAGCTTTCGAGATTTTGGTCACAGACAAAAATCATTGGCGAATAGCGAGCAACGTCACGCTTCAACCGCTTATTTCCACCCCCTCACACTGCGATTGCTTAGTCGA